ATATATTTACTGAGAAAAATGGTGACGTGTTCAATACTTTTTTTATCCGCTGTATATATTTAAAGACTTAACAAAAACATAACCACGACTCGTGCTACCCTAACCTCGACACAATCCTAAAAAGAAGGTCTCATTCACGATACAGGAATCTGCTTTTTCTCCCCAACATGCCTGGGCAAATACATTTATATTCCCACATCATGAGTAATACAAGTGCACACAGAAAACACACACACACATGCATCACATCCAGATAATATAAGGATAGGGCATGATATGAAACACACCAAACTAAAATAACTCACTGGCCAAACCCTGAATAACAAACAAACACAACAACCTTGAGAAACAAAAGAGGAAATAAAAGCAGACGAAGCGGAAGGGAGCGAGGAAACTAGATAAAAAGAGGAATCAGGGCAGAGGACTCTAATTAAGTCAGAACTGTTGTTGCTTGTGTCTTTTATTTTTATTTTTTTGTGGGTTTATCTCAAAGATGTTTCATTATTTAGCTTGATCTTTTGTGAGCTTACTGCAAAGATACAATGGCTTTAATAAACAGATGTAGCAAAAATAAATTAAACAAAAACAGAATATAAAGCAKTATGGTCTGCCGGAATCAAAGACTTGAAAAAACAGTAATAACTGATCAGTGTGTGAGCTTGAGAAGTGATTTTACATGCTKTAACACCTCTTAAACTGTCTTAAGTCACTGTGATGGACTTGCGACCTGTCCAGGGTGTACCCTGCGCCCCTCGCACAGTGACTGCTGGATTTGGGCAACAGTGACCCTGACAGGAAGACATGGGTATAGATAATGGATGGAATCTTGGGTGGATGTCTTAAGTCAGTGATTCCCAACCAGGGGTAGGTGTCCACCTTGGGGTATGCAAGCATATTACAAGGGGTACGTGGGAAAATTTCCCTGGTGTGTGGAAAAAAAAAATAGGATAGATATGTAGGGCCATATGATTTCCATAATGCGAAAAATGCAAACGGAATCACAAAATTGACTAAATCTAATCCTGTATAAAAGGAAGAATCTCACTGAATTTGCTCATTTGGGATATTTGATGTATTTTGGATGCTGCTGCTTCCTTCACCTGCCATTACCTGGTTTATTTTAGGGATGCACCGATATGAAAATTTCAGCCGATATCGATATCCGATATAATTATTGCTGCTATGGCCGATAACCGATACCGATATTACACAAACACACAACTTATTTATACACATATACGCACAARCACGTGTCTTTTTTGATACACTACCAGATCTCTTACATTGMTCTACTTTAGTTATTCCCGGCTGCGCAGCGACAATATCACTATCATGATCAAACAGATACCACTTGACCAATCATCTCCCCTCCCAAAACAGAAACGCAAAACTAAAAAGAGGGAAATCAATATCGGAATTTAATATCGGCCGATACCGACGTTAATGACAATACATCGTGCATCCCTAGTTGATTTTTTTAATTACTTATTCACTTTCAAGGCAACATTTTTATCTTCATGTTTAGTTTGAGTTGAAAAGAATTAAATTTTCTAGGGGTTAAATAAATAT